CACATCCAGCCCAGAGATTATCTTCTAAATAATAAAAAATGCAACCTAGGATCTAGCTCAGTTGGTAGAGTACTTGCCTTGCATGCACAAAGCCCTGGTTTCAATCCCCAGCACCACACACAAAAAAAAATGCAACCTATAAGAAATGGTTTTAGATATGGAGACACCTTCATTATTCATCACCTGCCTCATTTAATCTTCATATCAGCCCAGTGTGAGAAATGTCGTTGCTGCTTCTATTTTATAGGTGGAAGAACTGAGAGTACATGGAAGGAAATGGCTTATACAAGGTTAAGTGAGGACAAAACCGAATTCCCAAAGAAGGGCTCTTCCAGACTGCAGCTCACAGGGGACTAGTGAAGCCTGAGCCTTTAAATCCTAGGCAAGTTTCAAGCCCAGCCAGTGCATTTGTATTGATCAAGGAAATACTATCTGATAACCAGGCCCAGCAGCCTATATCCCCAGCTCCTTAGAAGGCTAACACAGGAGGATCAATTGAGCTCAGGAGTCCAAGACCAGCCTGGGCTACATAGCAAGACACCATCTCAAAAAAAAAAAAAATAGAAAACAAAATTAATACATAAACAAACAGAAAACAAGACTTTCTGGAAATGTGTATGATAACACCCTCACCACCCCATAAATCCAAACCCGGACCATGGAGATACAAGAACAACAATAATGGGTGCTAACATTCTGTGTACCAGGCACCAAGTGCTTGCATAAAGTGTATCAGTTAACCCTCATAACAGCCCAATCCAGTAGATTTCATTATCACCCCCCCATCTTACAGGTAAGGAAAAGGTAAGCTGCTCAACCTGCAGGGCTAGATAGGACTCAAACAGCTGTGGATCCAGACTCTTCCTCTGAGTCACTTTACCTATCCTCATGAGGGCATCAATGCCACACTCAGATTTTGGACTCTGTCCCATAGGTTACAGGAAACCAAAAGAGCTTCAGATGGGGGAGTGATGGGGTGGTGCTCCCATGGGGAAAATAATTCCAGACAGAACATAATCAGGCTTCCTTCACCCTGAATCTTCCCTTCTCCCTCTTTCCTCCCTCTCTGCCTCTATCTCTCCCATCTTTATTCCCCCTCCTCCCTTATTTTCTTGCCTCCTTGTTCCCATCATTCACTTCTTCCTCCCATTTTCTCTTCCTTTCATTCTTCCTTCCTGTTCCTCCATAACAAGTAAAAGGTAATGGCCCAGATGCTAGGGATGCATTGATCAGATTCTGAAGGAGTGGATGGAAAACAGGACAGAAAAGGAGAATCTGGCCAGGGCAGCAGGACTTAGGGGAGCAGGGCATTTGCGGGAGAGACTACTATGCGGGCTGGGAGAGGAGGACGATGGCCAGTGTCTCATTAAGGGACTTTTCTTCCTGCTTAGGATAATCCTGCCAACCCTAAAACTTACAATCTCAAATAATTAGTAAATAACAGAGTACAAATACTCAGAAATGTATTTACAGAAAGCAAAGCCCCTGATAGATCTAGTTCCACATGGGTTCTGGAACTAGACAAAGGAAAAATGGCTCCAGTGGTTTATTTAAGGAGGTACATCAAAGGCAAAGGTAAGTTTTCGAGGGCAGAGTCTTGCTCTATGATGTCTTGCAATCAGCAGGTTGATTGACATCTTGGCAGGTCACACCCATCTCAAGTGCTGTGTGGGATCTTTGGCAGAGCTTGAGGGGGAAGTTCACCTGAATCAGGCGGTCAATCCCAGTGGGGGGTGCCATGAGAAGTTCCCAATGCTAGACTTATCCTCTCACGTGGCTACTATGTGCAACAGTCCACTCACAGCCCACAGACAGCTCATGACAGACTACACATTTTCCATGAAGGCCAGAGCCTCCATGGAAAATGTATAGTGAGGAGGCCAGGCCAACCCCATGCCTCATATATGAGCAAAGGCAGCAGCTCTGCAGCCATTTTACATTCAGGAGAATATACCTAGGCAGCTGGGTTTTCCAACCTCACATGACATCTGAAAATATTTAGGAATGGAATGACATGATGTTTGAGATTTAAAGAACTTCAACAGAAATGAAAAGAATGGTGAAGCAAATCTGGCAAGATGTTTACAATCATTATTACTCTAGGCAGTTGGTAAGTGGGTGCTTATTGGACTACTTTTTTATACCCTGCTGCATGTTTAAAATCGTCATAATAAAAAGTAAAAATGAGAACTCCATCACTAACTGTCAATCTATCCACCCAGTAGGCAGAATGAGAGTACTTGATTGGGAGGTTTGGGGGCTGATCCCTTGTACCCAACTATACCAGCAGGGATTGGGAATTGGGACAGACTCTTGGAAAACACACTGAATAGGAGTCACCATGTGAACAATAGCCAGATCTTTTGACCCACCAGTTCACCTCTCTTTGTATTTATATACTGCAGAGGTCCCCACCCATGTGCACAAAGCCTGATCATCCATGACAGCAAAGAGTCAGGAACATACGTCCATTGATAGGAGACCAGCAAATACATGGACACATCCATGCTGGGGGGAACCAACCAGCCATCCAAATCACATCTGTGTGCCATTAGAGAAGGACGAGGGAAACAGCGTATCTGTAAGCTATATTTTTAAAGAGAAGATGGGAACATCCATATTTAAACATGTCTTGATGATCTCTGAAAAGGATACAAAACAAACCTTTAGAAATGAAAACAATGGACATTTGTATCACACATGTGCTTGTTGCTGCTTTCTCCCACTACGTTCCATTGTCCCACCCAACTTCACTTACAAACACATGTTCTGAGACGAAATTCTTAGATTGGGGGTGTGGTTCAGTGTTAAAGAACTTGCTTAGTGTGTACAAGGCCCTGGGTTCGATCCCCAGCAACACCACACATTCGTATACACACACACACACACACACACACACACACACACACACACACATACAATGAAATTATTGAGAATTTCAAGATGGCCACAGCAGAATTAAGTCCCCATGACTACATAAGTTTCTAGTTTCATGCCAGCAACAAACACATGTGTAACACAAATGTCCACTGGGTCTGGTTGCACTGTGTGCACAGATCCCTAGGAGACACAGATGGAGCACAGTCTTGGCTGATATGAACTCCCATCAGATGTGAACCACAGCAAGACACCATGGCTTTCTGAGAAACTCAAGCAGCCAAGGAGCCCTGGGAAGCCCTTTCCTGATGGCCCTTCTACAGTGCCAGAAACCAGTTATAATGAAAATGAAGGCAAAAATTGGAAGACAGAAAGAGGAAGAGGAAAGACTTCCTTACTTGACAGTGAGCCTTGGCAGAACGTGTATGTGTGTGTGTGTGTGTGTGTGTGTGTGTGTGTGGAAGTAGAATAATGCATGCACTGTAGAGTCTTCATGGTGGCCTAAAAATTGAAATGACCCCACAGTGATGGAGAATGGAAGAATAAAGTGTGTATGTAAATACCTGCTTTGGAATAGAATCAGCCCATAAATGGGGACAAAATAGTGACACCTGCTACAAGGTAGATGAACCTTGAAAACATCAGCTAGGTGAGAAGTCACACACAACAAGCCACATACTATATGATTTTATCCACATGAAATATCCAGAACCACCAGGCATGGTGGTGCATGCCTATAATCCCAGCCACTTGAGAGGCTAAGCAGAAGATCATCAGTTCAAAGCCAGCCTCAGCAAAGGTGAGATACTAAGCTACTCAGTGAGACACTGTCTCTTAATAAAATACAAAATAGGGCTGTGGATGTGGCTCAGTGTTCGAGTACCCCTCAGTTCAATCTCCAGTACCCCCCAAAAAATGTCCAGAACCTTCCTTGGAAGGTCAAACTGACAATGGGGAAGCATTTTGTAAACTTCAAGCCACAAGGAGGCATAGAGAGGTGGCAAGTCACCACAGCCAGTATCTCCAGACCTACTCCTGGGGAACTTATGCTGGCCACCCCAAAGGGGCCTGGAATGAGCCCAAGAATTCTGTAGAGGAGATTCAAAGGCCATGACAAAGCCACACAAAGTCCTGGGCACATGGAAGAAGTGCAGTTCAACAAAGAATATTCTGATAGCACAGCCTGAGGTCACAGGCTGGCAGTTAAGGTCGCTGACCAGCCAAAGTCCAGCCTGGACCAGGGACAGGGAACTGGCCATCAATAAGCATATGCTCACCCTGGGGTCCCTCCATTCCCTGCCCAGTTCTCTAAACAGGAAATCAAGGAAATGCCCTCAGGTTGGAGGGGGCATGTTACCCAGCAGCCCAACCTGTTCCTGCCTCTTGGCACCTGCTCACTTGGCACAGGAAAGGAGCTTCTAGGAAGAGGTCTACCTGGTATCCTCTGAACAGACAACCCCTCCCTCCTTTGGATGTCCTACATTCTCTGCAAGGATCAAGTAGCTCGTTGTTATAGAAATTTCAGAAAACTACAAAAAAGCACCAACAGAGAAATAGCATGCTGGTAATTGCTGTCTACCTCCTGTTTTGTTTCCCATGTGTCTTTCTACAAATTTTAGACATGTCATTTTCATTGTTCCTATTTGACCCAAGAAGACAACTGTGTCACATGTTATAGATGCTATTTCTTCCTTCTTCAGCCCTTACAGTTTTCTTCATTCTAATAATAAATATTTTTACTTTTAAAGTGGAAAAAAAGGGTTAGGGATGTAGTTCAGTGGTAGAATACTTGCCTAATATGCACAAGGCCCTAGGTTCAATTCCCAGCATTGCAAAAGAAATAAAAAGAAAAAAATGATCAACCTTACAAAGGACTCTTTTTTCAGGCATGACCCCAATTGTGACATTTGTTTCTCCCCATCTGAGCCTGGCCTGTCCATGTGTCCAAAGAGGAAGTACCTCAGCCCAGCTGGGGCCATGCCAGGCTCCACCCACCTCGCTCCACAGTCTTCCTCCTGCTGGTCCTTTAAATGCACCCCAAACACTCAGGCCACCATCCATCACCTGCCTTACCACTGGTCACCTACCTGCCACCAGTCACCTGCCTACTTACTACCAACACCATGCGCTGTCTCATCAGCCTGGCCSTCGGCCTTCTCGCCCTGAAGGCAGTCCTTGCTCTGGACCCAGCTTTCATCTCACCAGGTAGGCCTAAGCCACCACCCACCTTATTCCAGAATCTCTAATTCCAATATAAGCTAACACACTGGTAGCACTGGTGGTTTGATAAAGGGGCAAGAAGGAGAGGAACAAAAAGGCAGAAAATCAGGGTTCTACCCCCCCCCCATGGTGAAGGCCTCATACTCCAGGGCTGAGGCCATGGTCCCTAGATGAGAAGTGCCCAGCTGGGAGATGGGGTGATGGGAACGGAAAGTGGTTCTCAGGCCCTATCACTTCAGGTGAGGCCATTAGCTTTCCACCTCCCACAGTAGGCCTGCAGCTTTGTTTCCTGATTTTCACAGCTGACTTCTACTTTTCAGGAGAAGCTGTATCACAGTTTTGGTAGATGGGGGGGTGTTTTTTGTTTGTTTGTTTGTTTTCCCCTCTAAGAAATGGAATCTTGAGAGTTGGGGGCTGGGATCCCTGGTAGTTTCCATCTTTGTCTCCATCTTGCCTTCCCCCGAGGAACTTCAAGGGTGGGAAGAGGGTCTAGGCCCCCACTCACCTGCCTGTCTCCTGTGTAGTTCAGGTCATGTGCCCTGAGCCCAGTTCCTCCGAGGAGATGCCCTGTACCCCAGCCTGCCTCACCGATGAGGATTGTCTCAGCAACACCAAATGTTGTCCTAGTGCCTGTGGCCTCTCCTGCAGAACCCCAATCATCGGTAATGCCCTGCCTAGCCCTGGTGGGGAGGGAGGAACCAGCAATGGAAAGATTCTGCCTTGAGTGGGGCACCACAAACCTCTTTTAGAGCCCACACACCAGCCCTGTACCTGCAACCCATCTGTGAGTGCCTCCGCCCCTCAAGCAGCCTTGTGATCTCCCACTAGTTTGGTTTCTAAGGTCTCCAAGCCACCAAGGGTGCTATGGGGGATCCTGCCCTGAGACAAACAAGATGGAGGCCTCTGGGACACATTTGACCTCAGGGTTCCACAGACATTAAATTTCCCTATTCATAAAATGGGGTTTTTCAGTTCAGGGGTGCAGTGAGATGGGCCCAGCAAGGAAGGCTGTGAGCATGAGAGCACTTTGGGTGCTAAAGGGCTGGCCCATCTCTCTCCAGAAGCTGCCCCCAAAGCTGGCAGTTGCCCCTGGGTGAACAACCAGATCTCCCAGCTGTGTCAGGAGGAGGACGAGTGCTCCCGTGACAGCGAGTGTTATGGCAACAAGAAATGCTGCATGAGCAATTGTGCTAGGAGGTGTCTGGACCCTGTCCAAGGTATGCAGCCTCAATATTGCCTCTTGGGTCCCTTTCTCCTTTGGCTTTCTCTGGTTAGCACCTCATCCTCAGGGGGCAAAGGGTGGGGGCAAATCAGAAACAGGCCAGGAGGTAGATCCCAAGCTCCACAGTGGTTCTCTTTGCCAACTCACTGTGCCACTGCAGGTTTCCTTGGGCACTTGATGTGCCACTCAGGTCAGGAGTGGCTACCAGTAGAAAAGGGAGCTTAGAGAAACAGTCCAGAACTCAGATCAGGCAGCTGGTGGGACTTGGTCTTAGGGGGCCTGTACCTTTGGCACTTAATCTGAAGGGGAGTAAAGAGCTTGAGGTTAGGAGCTTCAGTGACACATGAGTTCAAAGCTAACTCTTCATACCTACCTGTGACCTCCACACCCTTCACTGAGGAGAATGGTGGCCTTACCTACCTGCCCAAAGGCAATATTGAGGGCAGGGGCGGTGGTGTGAGAACTGTGCTTGCTCAGGAAAGGCACCTGTTCACCACATCCCTGAAAAAGTAGAGGTGAACAAGCTAGCACATGAACCACAGCACAGATGACCAAACCTCTTTTCCCTACACTCCTATCCATTCTCCACTGTAGAGAGCCCTCTCCAGTAAGGAGCTCACCTGAATCCCCTGACTGCCAGGAGAGGCCATGTCCAGTCTGAACCCCAGCAAGAATCTTCTCTCTTGGATCCAGTGACCATATGATGTCTCCTATCTGCTGCTAATAAAAATTCCATTTGGCTTTAAGTCTCTCTGTCTATCTGTCCGTCTGTTCTAGGCACCCAAAGAATGGACAAAGCAAACACAGAACTTATCCCTGGGATCTCTGGGGTGGCTGTATGGGAGCAGGCAACTCCCCTCATGGACATAAGTTTGTGGGAGAGAGCTGGGAGTTCAGTCAGGTTCACTGAGTTTGGGCTAACTCCAGAAAAACTATGGTGGATCTCTGGGCTGGGAAAGAAGTCATCCTACCCAGCCCTGGTGTTACCCAGCCAGTTACCCTGCATATGACCCCTTCTGAGGTATGACCAGCAGGAGCTGAGACTGTGGAAGTCTTGGGGCCCAGAGGGTACTGGGGACCTGGCCAGTCTTGGCAGCATGGAGAGAAAGCAAAAGCATAAAAGGAATCAGAGGGAAGATGAGGCATGTGTTGACACCACGCTAGGTCAGCCTTCTATAAAGTCTCTAACAAAGTGTATCTACTCCTCTCCAACACCAGTTAGGCATCCTAAAACCCATGCCAATCCTGATACTGGCAGCCTGGGTTCACATCAGGTATCACAATTTAGGGGCTGAGTCCCATAAGCCTGCACCCACTCCACATGCCAGCCACAGTCCCAGGGCTTTCTTCACTTCCAACTGATAAGACTGAAAATTTGAAGGTTTCTGTGATCCCTTCAGCTTCAGTGGTTCACTAGAATGGTGGCAGAAGTCACTAACTTTATTATTGTTCTTCTATCATAAAGAGGAGCCAAATAGGGGCTGGGGATGTGGCTCAAGGGGTAGCGCGCTCGCCTGGCATGCGTGCGGCCCGGGTTCGATCCTCAGCACCACATACCAACAAAGATGTTGTGTCCGCCGAGAACTAAAAAATAAATATTAAAAAAAAAATTCTCTTCTCTCTCTCTCTCTCTCTCTCTCTCTCTCTCTCTCTCTCTCTCTCTCCTCTCTCACTGTCTCTTTAAAAAAAAAAAAAAAAGAGGAGCCAAATAAAGGGACACACAGTGTGAGGTCAAGGGGTGGGAGGATGCAGGAGAGTCTTTCCCCATAGGATCTGGGTATGCCACCTTCCCTGYACATCAGTGTGTTCACCAACCCACAAGCTAGCCTGAGCTTCGACATCCAGATCTTTTACGGAGGTTTCATTACATAGGCATGACTGATTCGATAACTGGCCATTGGTCATTGAAGTCAATCTCCAGCCATTCTCTCCCTGGAGGTCAGAGGTAGTGCTGGAATTTCCAACCTTCTTATCCTGTGGCTGGTCTTTCTAGAGACCATACCCCATCTAAAGCTAAAGAGGTGAGAATCACCTCTTGAGAATCACCTCTTTAGCAAAGACCCTACTACCACTAAAAATGTTGTGGTGGAGACCACCATCTGGGATCCACCCTAAACTTCTGGCTCTCAAATTTGACTGCAAGTCTACTGAGCTGGAGTAGGTTTTTCATGTGCCCCACATGATTCAGTAATCCACCAGATTGGAAAGTCGAGGCTGCAGTGGCCTCCAGCTCTCTCAAAGAGCAGAGCAGGGGTGCTCTGTGGACTGTAGGTGGCAAACACCAAGCCAGACACTGTGATATGATTACAAATATCCTCCAGTCTTTGTCCCTGGTGCATTTTTAAATAAATACACACACACAAATTGTAGATGAACACAATACCTTTTTTTAAATTTATATTTATGTTGTGCTGAGTATTGAACCCAGTGCTTCACACATGCCAGGTGAGCGCTCTACCACTGAGCCACAAACCCAGTCCTGTCCCTGGTTCTTGACATGGAGCTTCTAAAACAGAGTACTCCCTAAACTCACTTGGCAATTGAGGTGGCCAGCTGGGTTTGTTAATTGGCTTTATTCATAGAGAAACAAATTTTTCAGATATCTAAAACAGGAAGCAATTTTGCATCTTGGGGTGAGACACACACACACACACACACACACACTTTCCACAGAGTTAAAGTTCCCATCCTCCCACAGAAACTAAGTGATAGGGGCACTGAATTTCTTGATGTATACATATCAAAGAAAGTACATACCATCACAAGATACATGCTCTGAAGAAAGAATGGAGGAACTCCCCCCCCCATTTTTTAAAATTTTTATTTTTTAGTTGTAGTTGAACACAATACCTTTATTTTATATTATTTATTTATTTCTATATGGTGCATAGAATCGAACCCAGAGCCTCCCACGTGCTAGGCAAACGCTCTACGGCTGAGCCACAACCTCAGCCCTCTCCCCCATTTTCAACTGGAAAAATTTGCCTTTAATTTTCACACCCTCCCCCATGCTGGGGATGGAACCCAAGGTCTCATGCATAATAGGTATGTGCTCTACCACTAAGCTACACCCCAAGCCCTTACCTATAATCTTTAACTCATTTTGCTTTACAGACTTGAGCCCAGCTCAAGCTCTACTTCAAGCAAACTAAGAACTGACTCAGTGTTTCTCTTCTGGATCTTGATCCCCAAAGTAAGGCAAGAAGAATGAAGTTTCCCAAGCAAGGGATGAGTGCTAATGGGCAGCGATGCTTTAGTGGAACTTGCTGGAGACGGTCGGCCTCCTTTTGAAGTTGGGCCAAATCTGACCATTCCTGAGATGGAACGTGAGAGATGGGTTCAGTCACTCTACATGGATCCATGGGAGATGGTCATAGCCCCACCAAGGCACTGAGCTCTGTGTCCTCTTTTAAAGGAGGATGTTAGAACTGAGGGGACCGAGCTGGTACCAAGCAGGAAGCTGGTGAGCCCACGGAAGCTCGGCACCTGACAGTTCCCTCTGGTTGCAGAGAACTGAAGCCAGGCGTAGGCGGTGGCCCGGCGTCTTCAAGGAACCTCAAGACCTAAGGGTGCTTCATCAGCCCAAGCCCTCGCGTCCACCTTCTCACACCGAGGAAACACGGTACGTGGTACGTTTTCCGTAAAAAGAAAACACGGTACGGGCATCTGGTCTTTGATTTGAGCCTGCATATCTTAAACCAGTTCTACTCACAACCCCCCCCCCCTTTTTTGTGTGTGTGTGGTTCTGGAGATTGAACCCAGGGCCTTGTGCATGAAGGCAAACACTCTACCAACTGAGCTATATCCCCAGCCCTTCTCCTCCCCTTTTCTCTGCGCCTCCCATCACTACATATCGCGCTATGTTGCGTGTATCCTCAGACCCCACTGAGCAAACCCGAAAAAGGCGGTAGGCGTGGCTCCTAGAGGGATGGCTTCCACCCGGGCGACTTCCGGTGAACCACATTTCCGGTGGCGCTCCTAATGACGTAATGAGCGCGTCTTCCTCATGGGCCTGGGGACAGTACGGGCGGCGGATGGAGGTCAGCAAGAGTGTTCGCGGAGTAGGTCCCGCGCCATCGGGGGTGCGGGGAAAGGGCTACTGGGCGTGGATACTGAAGGCTTGAATACCCAGGTGTGGTGGGCCTGGAGTGGGTGGGGGCGGCGACCTCGGAGAGGGGGCCGGTAGGGGAGCTACACGCGGTCGATCCGGGGAAGGGCTCAGCGGAGGTGCTGGGATCCTAGGGGCCCGGAGGAGGAAGCCAGCGGGGACGCTGGACCCTGGGGGTGCGGGTGCTGGCGAAGGAGGCCGGCAGGGGGCTGAACGCGGTGGGCTCGCTGGCTGCCTGCTCGGTACAAGCTGGCGAGTGCGCATGCGCCCCTTCTGCCTGTGGCGTCCACGAGGCCGGGCCTGGAAGGTGCTTCCTTCCTGCGTTGACCCTTGGTATCCCCAACGAGTCGATTTTCGTATGGCTATATTTGAGCAGCAGACTTCCGAGTTGATATTTGCCTAAGCCTAAGTGCGGCTTCTGGACTTATTTCCCTTCTCCAAACAGCTTTTAGAATTATCTTAAAAATTGGAAAGATTTTTCCAGCGCCTCCCCACAGTGCCTGGATTAAAAGTGGTAAATGTGGGGCTTGAGCAGACGTTCTTCTCTGTACCTGATGTTTTTTTCCCTTATGTAGAGTTAAGTTAAGCTTTTTACAGCTGCAGTAATTGCTCGTGTGAAAATAAAATTTTACAGCCATATACTGAAGTCCAGGAAGTAGAAGAAAATAAAAGGTGCTTTCTGATTGGGCAGAAGCAAGGCTCCCGTTAGATATCTTAGCCAGGTTATTCAGTCACCTTAGGGAGCAAGAATGGCAGAATTGTTAAAAGTAACATCATAAGGATATGAAACAGGTTCTTGAAAGAAGTTGACATTTTGTGGAGCTTGGAAAAATGAAGTATTTTTTGATGGGCCCTATGATGAGAAATAGCAAGCCTGCAGGGTAGAATGAAAGTGCAAAGCCTGGTTAGAATAAGGCCTTGGGTAATGGGGAGATGAGATAAAGCTAGGAAGATAATTTGGGGCCATGTTAGGAATGATTTTTGTGATTCAGAAGTTTTGTTCTTAGAAATTGAGGGAAGGGAACTCCAGTCTCCCTTGGTTTGGGGGAACTCACTCCCTTGTCTGGATTGTTAAAATATATCCACAAAAGCTTTAGGAAAGTGAGTTGAATAGCCTGAGTTTTCCAGGATCATTCTCTAAACCAGTAATTCTTAATCCTGGTAACCTTGTGGTGGGAGGTGGGGGGATTAATGCTCTCTCAGCCTTACCTGTAGAGATTCCCAATCAGGAAGTATTGGGCAGGAYCTGGTAGTCTGAATTGTTAACCACGCAGGTGATTTTGAAGCACAACCAGTACTGAAAATTTTACAGGCTTCTGAGTTTTGATATTTGATGACATTATGTACTGAAACAAAAGCCCTCTGAGGTGTTACTTCAGAAAGTACTGTCTCAGAGCYGGGCATTGTGGCAAGTGCCTGTACTCCCAGCTACTTAGGAGGCTGAGGAAGGAGGATCACAAGTTTAAGAGCATCTTGGGCAAGTTAGCAAGTCAGCAAGTCCCTACCTCAAAATCCAAAAAAAGTTTGAGAATTTAGCTCATGATAAAGTGCCCCTGGGTTCAATCCCCAGTGCTACAGAGAGAGAGAG